ATTCTGTTTAAGGCTTGTGGTATGCTCAAAAATCTTGGTAGGTGTGTGGAATAGTAGCTCATTGTTCTGTCTGAAATAAATTTTCAAGTAAGGAAAAAGCTAAGTTCATACTAACTCCTTGAAAGGCTTTTAGAGCAAAATAGAGAAGTTTGCAATATTGCTACTGACAGCATAAGCTCTAGCTTCAAAACAACCAGTGCTTTGTATTAGACACATATTTACAATTTCTATAACTATTTGAAGATATTACTAAAAACATTATCTACACTGATCAGTAACATAAAAAATTACCCTTATTTTGGCTACTTTTCATCACTGTTTGTTGAAAGCTAACACAATTCTTTTAGGACTGAAAACAGTGAGAGAGAGAAGGGCTTGAAACTAAATTTGCTGGGATACAAAGCAATCCTGATTTCACTGTATCCACATTGTTGGATCTTCACTTTAAAGAAGCAACAGAACCAAGCAGTGAAACAGAGTTTGTTAGAGAAAGCATTCATACTGTCAATTTCATATACAAATGTGGTTGAAAATAGATGTAATGGAATTGAAGTAGATAATTTCTCACCATTAAAGCTACACATGTCAAATATTTATGAGAGGAGACACACGACTCATTCAGGTATTACTACAGGAACTTGTTGCATTAAGGTATTGGTCAAATGGGTGAAGAACAAGAAGTTGCTATCACTAGTGAAATTAATTTATTATTGTGATGGAAAATGGACAAAGACACATTTCCGATACTATCCCAGTTACCATCCCCAACCAACTATGTTTATAGTGAGTTTCTGAATTTTGAAGCTGTCAGTATTTATGAGACAAAACAAAACCAAGTGCACAGCAACTACTGCTGTTATATCGTATCACATCACAACCTCAAATTCTGTAATTTTAACCACTGAATAAATATATATCTGAGTGAATAGTTTTAATGAACAAAGTCACTGCCCAGTAGGATATTTCATTCTATAATGGAATGAAACAAAAGTATTTCTGAAATGATTTTTATATATATACAGCATAAGACTTGAGGGGGAAGAAGATGAGACCATCTGCAATGGAAGACAAAAAAAATTATCTTAAATGCTGATTTGGAATCCGAAATGGACAAATTAAAACAAATATACATATTTAAAAAATGAATTTACATGATTTTTATCACAAGTTTTAGGCCTATTGGTTTCCAATGCTTCAGCAGTTTTTGCTACTTAAGTCATTACTTTGAAAGTGCTAAATGATAGGAGTTGAAAGTTGAATCAGAATCTTCAAAACAAAGAAACTTATTATGATTTTAAGTTATATTTTTCCTCTTATCTGAATCATTATGTACGATTACATTTTAATAATGTGCCTTATTACCTTTCTTTTGCCTATCATATCATATTTAACACATGTTTAATTAATTATTAGTAACGTGACCGTGAAGTGGGGTGCAAGTTCGAAGTATGGAAAGTATAACTCATTTTACCATTCGAAACGAAGCAACATGATTAATAACCAATAAGATTGTTGTGTACACCTACCAAGGATTTTTCATATCTGTTCTTGTCTTGCATTTCTAGCGAAACTTTTTTTTTTATCTTTGACTTAAAAACTTCCATTTGAGTTGCTCCGAGTGATAATACTATTGTTTTAGTGAACCATCAGTTTCTACAAAAAATTAGCATTCTAATGATTTAGATAGTTTTAATTTCACTTCTTTTCATTTCTTACTACTTTTTCAAGTGTGAATTCTTTGTAATAATGCACATATTTTGAGGTTTTAAGTATGTATTAAAGTAGATTAGATAGATTTTGTGTAAATAATTAGTGTTTGATTAAAACATATGCCATTTCCAATACTTCTAAATTAAGTGCAAATGGTTATATAGTAGTTGAAAATTAAATGAGTGTTTATTAACATTAATTAGCATGTTAGAATTCACGACAAATGTGGGGTACATTCTCTTTCATTAGTCAACACTATCTTATTGCAAGCTTGATTACTGTATACACCCCCTGTTTAAGTCAGTGAATGGTTTTATTTTTGCACAAAGAATCTGAAGTAAGGCCTCTTCTTTTCTCTCATGCTACTGTGCTATCCATTCGCACATGTGCTGCTTACAAATGAAAGAAATCCTCATAGTTTGGTTCTTTCTTTCCTGGTTAATTATGAAGTAGACACTTGAATTCAGACTGTCAATAATATTACTCTAAATAACCTAGAAAGAGATTAACAAATGAAATTAGCATAGCAAGCACTTGGATTTGTACTGTCAGTAATAGTAGTTACGCCTCCGTTCGTTAGTTAATTTTCCGTGTAATTTCTTTCCGAAGAAACTTTATAGATGCAATAACCACATACAATGAACCAATAACAATTAACAATAACTTAATTAAATGTACAGAATTACAAACACAAAGTTACAATTCAACAAAGTCTCTTGATTTTACGGGACATA